GCCCCCGCGTATAACACGCACCTCAATTTAAGAAGGAAATTTCATGAAAAAAAACTAAACATTATATCGGCGTACAACACGCACACATCATTTGCCCCCTATTTTCAGGGAGAAAAAGTGCGTGTTATACGCCAATAAATACTGTACATAAATTAGCCATGCATTACTTTATACTGAATGACTTGCTATTTACAAAGGCTAATTTATTTATTAATATATAGTTGGACTATATGGTCATAGATTCTAGGGGTAAAACTAAGCTAGGGCTAAAATTAGACTCAATGTGCTCCAAACGGAAATGAATTCAGTTTATGAATTTGGGGGGAGGTGAGCAGCTGGAGCCCCCCCCCCCCCACACACACACACACACCTAGAATAATAGATACAAATCTGAAAGATAATGTGCGTGCCACAGATCTTGGTTTTACCACAAATACTTTAAATATATTTAAATGTATTGTTATTGAACCAACGGTTACCAGTATCTCCACTGGTGGAGTAAATAGGGGATCTGCAACGGTTACCAGTAGCTCCACTGCATAATTATGTCACTGTCCTTTTTATTATGTAATCACTGGGTGAGGTCAAGTTTCGCTAATCTACTTCTAATCCTGTGTAAAAAGATTGCATAATCGGAAGATTATTTAGGGGGGTTAAAATGGTCAAAAATAGCATGACATACTTTATGGATGGCCCCTAACTGCTAAGCGATAAAGTGGGTAAAGAGTAGTAAAGAATAAGGCTGCAGCTATTTGGACCCGGGTCCCAGAAGTGCTTCTGTCTTTAAAGATACTTTATAAAAGTTGCCCAATTGGATGAATCTTGTTAAAATAAATGATGTAGGCCTATTTATTTTATAACTTTACTATCAACTATAACCGGAGTTGCCCGGGGCTGCATTCAGACAAAAACATCTGCTACGTCCTTTTAGTTCACATTGCTATTAAAGGAAATGGCAACAACAAAACAACAACACTATAGTAAAAATAATAATAATTAATTTGTCTCCTATTAAAAACAATTAAAATAACTTATGTAAACCTTTCGTTTTTCCCGTTTTCCGATGACACCCAGAAGGATCATGATGGGATCCCGAACCCGATGGGATTCCGATAGAATCCTGGTCATGGGGGGATCCCGATCCCGGTGAGATCCATTTCCGGTGGTATCCCAAACTAAATGAGATCCCTATTCGGCGGGATCCCGTTTCGGTGAGATTCCGATCCCGATAATTATGGGGAGCTCACATACTTGACATACGAACCCAGCTTACAAGCCACATTGCAATTGTTACGAGCGCCTTAGGAGAAATTCCAGTTGTATTAACATTATTTGTTGCCCCACAAGGTGCGCGTATAAACCAAATGCTGAACCATTAAAAATGCCTGTTGCATCAACATTTTTAGTTATTGTTTCTTGGTCGTCCTGCAATTTTAAACAAAATGATCCTACAACCAGCAATAC